TGTTGTTGTTTTGCTCTACACTATGTGTGTAAGCAAGCAATAGGTGTCAGACACTGAGTTAATCTCACCTGCCTTTACACACATTGTGGAGGCTGTTCTTGTTTCTTTTGGAGGAAAAGCGGGCTTCAGCAGCCCCACCTTCCTGCTGCTATTTTCTGCTTCTCCATCTCTCCTTAAATGCCCTGGTACAGCTGGACCTTGTCTTGCTGGTAAAGGGCATTGGGGAACTCCTTTTTTTAAAAAAAAAAATAAACTAACAAATTTTTGATACAGATTGAGTAATTGCTCTAACTGAGCATGAAGTCTTGCAAGGATGGTTGTACTTGGTACAGTGTACCAGTGCAGCCAAGAAGATGGCATGGGGAGGATTGGGGTAAAGCATTAAGCCTGTAGGAAGGTAGCAAGGATTCCCCTTTCAACCAGAACTGCTGCCAAAAAAGATGATCAGCCACTTAAATTGGATATCTACTCCTGTTTCAATAGGATGCATGCAAGCATTGCAGTGCTCTAGTGCTGCAAAAGAGTTGTCTGTTTCAATTGCTTAGAAAAAGGAAGAACTGAATGCAGTCTCTGAAATGTGTTTTTAAGCTCTGTTTATTGTTCTCTGTAATGAATGCTGTCAGAGTGAGTTTCGTTTGAATATCTGCAGAGATCTGTATCGGAGCCAGTCACACTGGGCTGCCTTTGTAAGCAGTGCAGACAAACAGGCATGGCTCATGACCTTTTCAAGATGAATCCTTCCCCATCCTTTCTCTTGGGGTATATTGTGTCCTGTGGTGACTAGGTCAACTATCAATGTCTATACATTAAAGCATCTTCATTTTGTCTGTGACACAGGACCCCGCATCCAAAATTGCCATAAATAGATACCTGAAGGGAGTAAGAATATGAGGAAATAGCCTGCCTACATGCCTGCCCTAACACCCTCCTGACTGTATTTCCAGTTCAGAGACTGACTGAATCAGATGTTAACTCCACCTGTGATTTATTAACCTTTGGTGGATTCCTCTTCTGTGAATTTGTGCAGTCTTCCCATGTAAATCTTTGCATTCACAGGGCCCTTTGGTAAGAATTCCTTGTTTTGGAAGGCTCCTAATTCCTTATTTGAAGGCTTCTAAAATTAAATAGGGTAAACATTTTCCTTAATAAATGAAATGCTAATAGCTTGGCAGAAGAATCTGGGGCTGTGTATTTTGTTCCAGGTTACCTTATGTATTAATACATGAGAATGAGTCATCTGCTCAGAAAAGTGTATCTTTCTTCAAGCTAGCTGAAATGTGAGAGGTTGTATGCTCATGGGTTCTGGTTAGGAATCCACCAAATGGAATGAAAATGAATCAAACTGGCAGTTTATATAAAATAGCACTTGCTGAGTATGGGAGCTGGGGAGGGAACAGACATTTGGGCCCTAGGTCATGCCTGGAGCTTAATACTTCAACATAACATTTGGCCAGTTTCTCAGAAAAGGGGGGCTGGAAAGCCAAGTTTGGCTATTACCTCTGCTTAGAAAATATGCTTTTGGACCTGTGCATGTGGGGATAGTTGTGCATGCAGAATGAATGCTGAGACAGTCACGTTTTTCACAAAGCCTCTGTGCTTGTCTGTCTGTTTATGTAAGGATGTACACTAAATTGTATTTTGGAGACCCCTACTTGCCAAATCTTGAAAGAGGTCCCCTTGTGCAGTCTACACGGGTATTCTTAAGTAGTAGAATTATAGAGTCACAGAATGGGTTGGGTTGGAAAGGATCTTAAAGATTGTTTAGTTCCAACCCACCTGCCACAGGCTGGGACATCTTCCACTAGACCAGGTTGCTCAAAGCTCTATCCAGCCTGGCCTTGAACAGGCATGGGGCATATCTGATTCATCAAGTAGAGGACCTGTACTTGATTTTCCCCTATTTGTATCAGTGTAACCCCGCAAAATTAAAACAACATAATGAGAATCTATGCTGGTTTTTACCTCATGTCCCAGTTTATTAATATTGCCATTAACTTGAATAGCAAATTTTTGCACTTTCAAAAATGTTGTTCTATATATGTTTATAAATTCTGTACTTTATGTAGTTTAAATGAGAAATTGCTTTTAGCAAAGGAATTGCTTTGGTATGGTACAGCACCCTGTGGTTTTTGCAGGGTGCTTCATTACTTTTGAACCATGCAATTCTGTACATGTTTACTTGTTCATGCTTTCATGTGCAATTTTCCATCAGTTCTTAATCAAATGCTGATTGTTCAAAGGAGTCAGTATGGTGATGTTTATGTTCATGTAGTTGCTCATATTTTTCTATGTGAGTTACTATTCTTACCTATTTTAGCATTTTTGATATCTCCAGGGAAATTATAAAAATAAGGTCTTAATTGTATTTTGATATTTCCATTGGAAAACTAATGAAAACTGGTTTGTATATTTGATCCTAAACAATGGAACTAATCGTATGACAGAAAAGTGTCAATCCTTTGCTTCAACATTATGAAGTTTTACTTTAGGAATGGTGGCAAAAGTTCTAGAATTGGGGATATTTTACATTGGTTCATTATATAGAGAGATTAGGGTAGAATTTCTTGGCTGCTTTGTCCATCTTTCCTTGAAAACACATACTATTTGAAAGAGGAATTTGAAATCTGGTTTGCCATAAATACTAATTATATTCTTCATGTAGGCTCTTGCTTGCATAGTCTCGGTAACTGTTGCTTTGTGCTTAGTGGGCCAGTGCACAGTGGTTATTGTAGAGGGTAATAAATGATGTTTATTTGTGCTGTGCGGTTGACCACATCTGGGGGTGAGAACACGCTGGCAGCTAATTGGCCTGGCAAATGATCAGGCTGCTACAAAACAGGATCTTGTGTTAGGCAGAAAAATAAAATCACAAGGAACTGTCAGCTCTTGCTCCTTACCGATGGTTTCTTCTGGAAATGGCAAACATTAGCTGTGGATATGATATTTAGATCTGCTCCATTGCACACATTTATTTCAGTGAATGCCTCAAATCAATTTACACTTGTTAACTCCTTGTGAGTTAATCTCATTCCCGGCAATTTGTTTAATCACTAGTTTATAGATGGTGTCCATCTTCATGTGCTCTCTTTTTTGTCCTGGAACACCTGTGTGCCTGACTTTTGAACTGATCATGTTAGTGATGTAAAGGACAAATAACCCTGCCAGGAAGTCTGTGTTGTGTTGCTTGACATCGAGCAATTTCCTAGAAGTGGTGCTGATGCTGCTCCTAGTTAAGGTCTCAGACCTTTAGGTTTCTTTACACTTGAAGGAACTAGAATCATCAAAAATGAGGGAGTTGCAATAATTCTTTGGTGAGAGGACAGCAAAGATGACAATTTGAATTTTTATGTTTTACTAATGTGTAGTTTAGCTGCCCCCACAGAGACTGAGCCTTGCAGGTACTCCCCTTCCCTGTCAGACTGCTTTGTGCCAATGCTGGAATCAGGTAGTTGCCTTCACTCCAATCTTAGTAGCACTAGTGGGGAGAGTAGAAAAGGCTGCTTCTTCCTTAAAATCCCAGGAGTACCTGTGAGTGGGTCAAAGCAGAAGGGAAAGGGGGAAATAGCATATTTTGAACAGATGATGAACTGATTACTCCAAAATGTTTCAAGGATGTGACTGACAGACTGCCAACGAGATTCACTTCCCTGCTTTCCCATGGCCGCTTTGTGCTGATGTTAGCAAGAAGGAATAGTTCATATGTCCTGCTAAATCATTTTGGTGTCAGTGAGGTTTTAAAATAGAGAGGCCCTGAATACTATTTGGATATCTGTGAGTGTTTAAAATTATTGGATCAACAGGTCCAAATAACATGGCAGATTTGTGGCATTAACTAGGCATGTGATGGAGGATAACTTTTTGGGGCTTTGGGGCCCTTCTAGATTTGAAAACCAGTTTGCAGCATCTGACACCAGAGAAACACAGTAAGTATTGAGGTTTTGCCATTGATTTCTAAGCTAGGTAGAGCTATGCTTCTCCCTGTACCACTGTATGTAACATCTGTCAGGACAAAATAGATTCTATCACAAATAACTACGTGATATTATAATTTGTTTTTCATCTGTACAAACTTTGCTTGTACCTGATTGAGTTATCTGAAAATTTACATTTTTTAATTTTTGCCTTTTCGTTCTAATTAAACCAACTTTTTTTTATTTTCTGCAGAGCGTGTGGATATTGTTTATTTTGCCTTTTGAATGGATGTTACAAAAATAAGCAAACCAAAGGGCAGTTTTATTCATATTTTACTCGATGAGCTAAGAAAATGTAAATCAAATAAGCCTTTAGCTTTTTTGCCTACTCTGAGTTCTTTGTGATGTTACTGAGCAGACCAGATGCCTAGCAAGCTTATTGTAAACAATACGTAGGAAAAGAGGTACCCTGTTTTATTATTTGGTTAATCTTCAAAAAAAACCCCTCAAAAGTGGAGAATAAAAAGAAACAACAAACTTCATACTTATGTAATCAGGAGTTGATGCTGTGAAAAGAGAAGGGAAAATATGGTAACTTAAAGGCTGGCTATGGGATTATAGTTGTTTTTAGCACTTGATGGTTAAGCGTCTTTTACTGCTGTGTCTCTGAACTCCTATAACTGATACTTTAACTGCTAATTCAATTGTGTGATGATTGATTGCCATGAACAATTCCTTGAAGAGCACTACAAATTTAATCTGTGTTTCTTTATTAACTGTAGTGGGGTTTACTTCCTCTGTTACTTTGTGTGTTTACAGTCAGTGATGCATGTGATGAATGTATACCAAAATGGTATATACATAGAAAATGGCAAACAAGACATTTGCTAGAAAACTTTTGGAGCACGCTTAAATGTAGAAGATTGTGCTGATCCTCTATTTTGCTGCTGAACTATGACCATTATTTTCCTTTTGCTATAAGCAAAAAATGTCTAATGAACAGATTAAGATGAGATGATTTTTCTCTTTAACAGCACTAATGGAACATCTGTTTTTTTCCCCCTCCTCCTTCACATTTGTAACAGCTAGCCGATGGCGGAACCTCTTCTCTACACCTGTCTCCTTGGCTTTTCCCTATAGTCCCGTTGCAAGACTCACCCCATATACCAATGGCTTTAACAGTCCCAGCTTCTCTAAAACCTCCAGTAAAGCAATACTAACACCTGAACGGACAGGTAATACTTATCTTTTTATTGATTTATGGTGCTTACAAAATTGCTTGATTTAATCTAATCTCCCTAGCATGTAACAGCAATGCACTGTTTGGACGATTGCATATAGCCTCTCACCTCAGAGGAAGATGTTTTTAAAAAAACCTAAAGTGTGGCAATTAACTAGCAGTGTAGGTTATCTTCTGTGTTATGCAGCATGTCATAGGAAAGTGATGCTACTAAACAGAGCCTATTTCTCAGTAATGATTTACCTGAGAGTATAGTTGCGACTGTGTCAGCTTAAACAATCTCTAGCTTTGCCTGCCCTTTACTGCTCATTTCTGCTCCACTGTGCCCCTTCCTTCTGTCTACAGAAACATTGGTACAGCTGTGTAATGAAGTAGCAGGGAGCATTTCTCTGCAATGAAAATAGGCAGCAGAATCATGGCTGTTTTCAGACTGATATTGTTTAAATAACAAATCCAAGATTTATTTTATGTTTGCCACTGGTTTCAAGGGGACACAAGAGTTTAGGAAAGAAGCAAACTTTCTGTGGGCTGTAATTGCAGGAAGTTGCATTTTTCCTTCTTCATTACAAGTATCAGGCGTCAGTTTGTATCTGTGACTAAACTGCAGTGGCAGCAGAGAAAATAATCTTGGGAAGAGACATTAAAATTTTATTGCTGGCAGGAGCAGGCATGGTCTAAGGAAGGTTAGCTTCAGTGTCACCCTGATCTCTGCCCACAGTTCTTTACAATATGTGAATCAGTGCAGAAAGCCCTGTTTTAAGGCATATAACAGCAGGCACTGCGGGTGAGATACAGCTCCAGACTGAATGACTGGTGTAGATGTCTATGTGAGCAAGATGTCTAAGCTCCCCTATTCGATGGGATGTAGTTTAGTACCTAAATAAAGGCTATTTGAGATACCCTCAGGTGTCTTGTCTAGCTCCCCACTGTTGCACCAAACAGGCACAGCTGTTACTACCTCTGCAAAGCCTGGCGGACCATTGTAACTTGCAAATTTTAGAAAATCAAACACATTTACTCCTTACAATCCTTCCAAAGCAAAGTAATCCCATGCATGTTCTTTTCTGTTGGAGATACTATTAGAGAACAGCTGAATTTAAGATGAATTTTAGGTGGCTGCTTTCATCAGTGCTAGAGGATGCAAACACATCTGTGATACGAGCACAACTGGTGAGCCACATAGCCACAGTGGTTCTCACCTTGCAGGCGTCTGTGGCCCCTTGGTGATCCAGAGGTTATTAGAAAGCAACTGACTGTTTTATTGGAAGAATTCTTCTTTAAAGTTGGACAACAACTAGGTCATGCAACTAACTGCAGGTAGAATCCAGACCCCTCTCCAAAAGGTTGCTCTCTGAAGGGGCAATGCTTTCTCTGGTGCTGCATAATGTTTAGTCTTAATTGTTTTTGTCATTGATTTGTCTGATGATTATAGCGAATTAAAAAAACAAAAACAAAAAAAACCAAAAAAAACCCCCCCAAAAAAACCCCAGCAAAACTTAGGTAAATTACTCTGAGATGGAATCTGAGTACTGCACAGAAGTTGTTGACACATACACACTTGCTTTTCAGAACAAAGTAGGGAGAACCACAGTCCCATAAGAAGTATTCAAATGCAGATGTGTTTAGACTATGCTAACTAATCTGAGCTCAATCAGAACCATACTGGGTAAATTTTTCATTTCTGGGCTATGTGATGCTATTTTGGGAAAAAGTAGAGGAATTCATGATCCATTACTACTCTTACAATGTCTCACAAGAATCAAAACCCTTTTGCTAATTTAGTGGATTGCACTACACTTCTGAAAGTTTTTATCTGTTATGCAGAAAATATTTTAAGGTACTCTAACATAAAGGGCAGATAGTGAATGAAAGATGTACAGATGCAGTCACAGACTAAAGGTTATGCTTTCTTACATAGGTTACCTTTCTAGGAGTTCCCCTTTGAGCCCACAGTCGTCAATAGACAGTGAGCTGAGCACCTCAGAGTTGGAGGATGATTCCATCTCCATGGGATACAAGCTGCAGGACCTCACTGATGTTCAGATCATGGCTCGTCTACAGGAGGAGAGTAGGTGCCTTTTGTTCATTTTCCAAAGCAGTTTGAGGAAGATTTCCCGTAACAGTCAAAACTGCTCCAGTCTGGTCTCAGTCAAGTGGATCTTTCTTAAATATTGTCGCCTCTTGGGTCACAGATGGAAAAACTCTTCACCTGCAGAGAAGGTGTTCATGTTGGTGGGTTCAGGTTAATAGTACTGGATCTCCCAACACTTGATGCTTACGTTTTATGGGATTTCAACAGGTGTAGCTCCATACCTGTTGAGTGCATTTAGATTTAGAAGATTTATGATGTCTTACCACATTAATTAAAATAATTTTATTTCTGGGAAGGGAAGATGCTAAAACATTTTTTTTACACATGTGTTTTATGAGAAAGGTAAAAATAAACAGCTCTCTTGGATTTCCTTGCCTCTACTTTGCTTTTCTTAATTGCCAGATGAATTTTTAAATTAATTTCCCTTTAAATCCTGAATTGGGGCATTTAAAGTTAGCGTTTTGGTTTGAGACTAGTTACTATGCACAAATCTGAGCCCAAAAGCTTGTTTGACATAGATTTTAGTTTGGCTTGACAGTAATTTTGGAATATGTCTCTATTCATAAATAAAGGGCATTTGACTTAGAAGTCACTCAGTAAGTGCAGTATCTTTCTCACTTCCTATGAATATCAAGTAAGACATCAAGGAGGACACGATGAGATGAAAAACAAGAGAAATTCGGAGATGGTGACTGAAGGAAAATGCCAAGTAATAAATGATTAAATAGAATAAAAATAGAATGTGAATTAAAAATTAGAGCTGTGGTCTGGCTACAGCAACCAGACAGAACAGGCTGGAGTGATCACTTGTGAGCAGTTGAACTTGTTGAGCATCTGGTGGCACTCGTTATGTTCAGGAGAGAAGTTAGCAAGTGTGAGACTTTCCAAGATAGCTGAATTCTCTCTCAGCTGGCAAATGTGTGTGGTTACAGCTGGGAAAATTTCTGATATTATGTGAAAGTTATAATAACTAAAAAAAAAATAAAATGTTGACTATCAAAAATACAAAGAACTGCATTACTTAAATGCCAGCTGCATTCATCTCCTTCAGATTGAAGTGTAAAAAAGACTCAGGTCATTGGTAAACTGGAAGGAAAAATACTCTTTTCTTCTCATCTCTGTCAGGTGTAATGGTTGTATCTCATCCTTGTAGTAGCAGCTAGTATAGAATGTTTGGGCACATGACAGTTGTTGTCCACTTAATCCTATGGAAGGTCATAGTACTATATGTGCACACAGGTATGCTCCCTTCAGTGCTGCGGATAGAATCTCCCATTTGAGGGTGGGGCAGAACCATATTAAGAAGTTTCCATTATGAGGCAAAGACATCTGTCAAAGATGAGGGCTTTTTGTACATCTAGGAAAGCTGTTTTCTGCACTATTGACAGTTACTCAGCTCCTGGAAATGTGATGTATATCCCCTTTTTCTCTGGCTGCTGAGCAGCTAGGAAATGGGGGGTTGTACAAGGGGTGTGGATGTTTCCCTCTTGCTTGATGTGGAATAAACATACTTTACTGGGGCAGTGCTAATAGTGGGATGGTTTTCAAACCCAGGTGATCTGTGAAGGAGGTGGTACGATGCATACCTGTCTAAAAAGCAGCTGTGCTACCACTAAGCCTTGTCTTGCTAGCAGGAACTAATTCTGGTTCAGGGAGGTTGGAGAGCCAGAACTTTTATGTGGGTTACTCACTTAGCAGAAGCTGAATCATTCCCTTCTTGGAATTTACAGGCCTTAGGCAAGATTATGCTTCGACTTCAGCATCTGTGTCAAGGCACAGTTCCAGCGTCAGTCTGCATGCGGGAAAGAAGGGGACATGCACTGACCAGGAGTACGATCGCTATAGTCTTGAGGATGAGGAAGAGTTTGACCACCTACCACCTCCCCAGCCACGGCTGACTCGCTGCTCCCCCTTCCAGAGGGGGATTCCTCACTCACAGACTTTCTCCAGTATCCGGGACTGCAGGAGGAGCCCTACCTCCCCACATTTCCCTTCAAATACTTATCAGCAGCCCTACTACTCTCCTCAAGCCCAAACTCCAGAGCAACAGCCAAATAGGATTAATGGAGGTGGGTTGCATGCTTTTCTGAGAAACGGTCTTTTCTCTGTGCAAAGTGTCGGTGCTATTTTAAAGATTAAGTTGTGTCAACAGAGTGAATTGCGTTTGGTGTTTGTCAGATAGATCAGCCCCTGAATTGTGACAAGCAATTTAAGCCTGTGCAAATGATTGAGGTATTTGTCATTTGCTGCAAAGTGCAGTCTGTGATCTGGTCATAAAAGTTGTTGCTTTAGTCTGTAGTAAAGTGCTACAAGGGTGACCACAAGTGAAGAACAGAGAAAAAGGAAAGAAGAGCATCTTTTAGCAGCTTAATAGGTAGGTAGAATAACTGATTGGGCTTTTGAGCATGGCTAGTGCATGTCCATTGTGGCTATAGTAAAATACAAAACAGGGTTTTCAGATTTTCATTTCTCATTCTTTTTCCTGACTTTGCTGTTAATTCAGTGAATGCACAATGAGTGTGTACAGCAGGAGACAGCGCCGTCCTGTTCCAAGTCTGGTAGGACAGGCTATAAAAGTAGTGGGAGATAATGTCACTCCCAAACTATTCTGAGCCATTGCTGCTTTTTGCACTGCATTTAAGATTTATTCCAGAGTCTCTGGAAGATTTGTCTCTCAGTGCTTACTCAAGACTTACGTTTTGCTCCATTATTGCTGTTACCTTCCTTTCGTTCCTTGTTATGATCACAATTTTCTTCCTCCTGCTGTGTCTTACTTTCCCCAAGCTAATTCAAAACAGTCAGTTTTCTGTCAGGGTTTTGTTTGTAAATTACAGGTTACAGCTCACACTTGGGCCAGAAAATAAATGTTTTATTCAAAAAATCCCACAAAGTTGCTATTTATAGAGCACTACAGGTATGCATGTTGCTTTCCTAACAAATATGGCATGACAGGTTGGTGCCAAAAGCACTTGCATTCAAAATAAGACCTGTATAATCGACAAATGACAGTATGTAAATCAGAGAATCATAGAATAGTTTGTGTTGGAATGGACTTCAGAGGTCATCTTGTCCAACCCCGCTGCAATGAGCAGGGACATTTTCAACTAGATCAGGTTGCCCAGAACCACATCCAGCCTGGTCTTGAATGTCTCCAGGGATGGTGCATCCACCAGCTCCCTGGGCATCCTGTGCCAGTATTTTACCACCTTCATTGTAAAAAAGAAGGCTGACACTAACAGAGGGTAGAGCAACACAGAAGTTTGTTGGTACAGCATATGTGCCATATTAATTTCAGTGTTACTTTTCTTGCTGGTGAGGTATAAGAATGGGACAGCACTGATGGGCTTGCAGAAATGTTGGGGAGATAGAAAGGTTATGGAGCATTTTTGATTCAGGAATAAGAGCAGGGTCTGGTGCTATGATCTTCATGTATGGTCCCCAGATACTTTTTCAATGATTTTTTCATGTTCTATGTCATTAGAACTTAAGCATTGGATTCTGACATGGAAACGTCTCAGAAAGTACTTACAGGGCACTAAAAACACTAGACTCCTAGTTTATTAACTAGAAAGCTTATAAATGTAAAAGGCCACCAATTTTACCACCTGGTTGCCTTTTTTCTCAAGAACTTTGAGGTGTTGGATAATCTGTTTGGTGTTCCCAGAAGATGGACTGTCAGTACCCAGCAGCTTGCCTTTGTTCAGGAGCTGAAAGGCTCCTGCTAGATGCTATCATAAAGTGGCAGATGTGTGCAACTGTAAATATGTTAAGATGTGAAATATATGAAGATGTGTTTAAGGTGTATTTGGGGCCACTTGTAGCATAGGCTGTAGGTGTACCTGTTGTTATCTCTTAAACAACATTTTTGCAACCATAAGCTGTAATATGTATGTTAGCTCTCCTTTCTAAGAAGTTTTATTTCCAGTTCTAACAAGAATACACTAATAGAAAAGCTTTGCATGCAGACTGCTTCCCCCCCTTCCTCCCCCCTCCGCCTTATTTAATTACACCCTCTCCCTAAATCAGGCTAAATCAGCTGAATTGTTTGTAACTCTGAGTTACATCAGAAAAATTCCATCTGTGAACATTTTAAAGCATTCTGGTTTTCAGAGATTTTGTAATTCGTTAGTGGGTTAGAAATAGATCACTTAAGATCCAAGAGATATAGGAGGTGAATAGCTTTTGGGTATCCATTACAATTAGCTAATGTGAGTCCATCTAGTTAGTGTGTTTTATAATTTTACGAAGTTTTCAATATTTTGGCAATGGAAAGATTTACATTTATACCTCTCTGCCCTTCCTCTAATTTGAAAAATGTCATGGTTAACAACTTAAAATGTTGCTAACTATTAATAATAAAGAATATTTATATTTAATCATTTTCGTATAAGAAATACCACCAAATGTCATAAAACCAAGCTGTTTCCTGCTTTATGTTGTCCAAAAATGTACACTTATTGTTTAATGTGACACAGAAGTAATCTTTCATTTTAACTTTTTTTTAAAGTATTTTTTATTTCTATTTGGTCACTTTACTCTTTTTTAATAGATATTTATGCCATTTATTTTTTTTTTATTCCATTTATGTCTTCTTATTTTCTGAAACCAGAAGTAATGGAACTACTGTGCTATGAAATCATCCATAGAGTCAAAATTCAGGATAGACAGGACAGTGAAAATAGGATTGATCTTGTGTTCAGGCCCACTTACCAGGTCTGGAGATAAGCTTACTCATAAACTTTTATCCTGGGTACCCTTTATTTCATGTGCGATTTAAAGTGTCCATTTTAATAATACCTGAAAATTGGAAAATTTGTATTTTGGATAAACTTTTCCAGCTAAAGAAGGAGTTTATTATACTGCAATACGAAGGGGCAGATGAAAAATATATCCTTCACTGAGTAGCAGTGCATGCTATTTCATGAATTTTAATATTTTAATAGTATAATATTACTTTATTATTATA